GTGGAAGCAAGTGGTTTTTATGACAGTGCTTTTGAAGTATGAGTAAGGTAACATTAAGGGATTCTGTGCAACTGGCTAGTGCAACTTGTCTTCTAGGTGGGAAGCACAGTGCCTGCACTCTGAAGGAGGGGAGGGAAGTTTGGAGGGGCATCCGAGCTGTAATGTCAGCATGCCTCTGGCAAGACAGTGATGGAACGATTGGTGGAGAGTGTTTATTCTTTTCAAGTCATCCTACCTCGGTGGGAGATGGCCGTTATGTTAAAAAGGTTGTGGCTTGTTTTAGACAGTAACACTGATTTATTTAGGACATATAAGTGTGACCCTCCCCTCCTTACTGGTATAAATTGTTTTTCTTTGGATAATGTTATTTGTATTTTTAATTATATTATTTTGGTATGTGCGCTGTCATTTCAGAAATGAAACCGATGGAGATTTTGCCGCTGAAACCAACATCTTAACGATTGCAATTCAGTAAGTTGTTATACAAGGCGCCAAAATATCCTGAGATGGATAACTTTCCTCACTTGCTATATATAAAATGAATGTTTATGTATGTATGTATACATACATGTGTGTGTGTGTCGTGCTGTATAGGTAAAACTGGTCAATTAGCATTTAAAATTAAGTCCTTAAAATTTTGTCTTATACATTCAAATATATATTTTTTCATTTATGCTAATGTAAAAATTAATAATTTGTACCAAAAGAATCTTAGAAAACTTACCTAACCTTATTATAACAAGCAAAATTTAATTTAGCCTAATCCAACTAAATATAATTTAGATAAGTTTACAATAATTTAATAATAAACAAACAATGAAATACAGTGGAACCTCTGTATATTTTTTTCGTTAGGTTCAGAATGAGTTTTGCGAAATTATTGCATGCACAAATTTTTGCTTGCCTTGTACAGCAAGAAGAGTGTTGCTATTTAAGCCAAAATTGCAAGTTTAACCTATATTGCATGACATATATGTACACACACACAGTGGAACCTCGATTTTCGTATGCCCTAGTTTGTATGTAAACCTATAGTTTTTATCTATAAAATTTTTTTTTTTTGTTAATATTTCCCATAAGAAATAACGTAAATCCAATTAATCCGTTCCAGCCATCCAAAAATGTTAACAAAAAATACATTTTATAGAGAATAACTATAGTTTTACATACAAACTATGGCATACAAAAACAGAGGTTCCACTGTATATATACATACAAATTTATATGTATGTGATATATTTTTTGTCAATATAATCCTTTCATTTCAAGCACTGTAATAACCTTAAATTCATATTACAGATGCTAAAGTTGCCATTAAATGCTTAATAATAAGGGGTTTTGGAAAGTTATTAATTAAATTATGACAATTGAGACCATAAACTTTAAGAACAAGGGGAAAAAAAAAACAGGAAAATTAAATGCTTTACATTGTATTATTTAGTAATTTGTTTTACTGAATTGATCATAAATTAGTTTAAAATGTATGGCAGTATTAATTTTGTAGGTAGTACAGCATTTTGTTTCTGTCACTAACCTCCATGTCATTATAGTCAAAGTGTTTACTGATTTTTGGCATAGTGGTTGGGATCACAAAATGGTAAATGACCTGAACTTAACCTGAGCCAAGTGGGTGACCTTACCTAAGGTCTCAGGCCCTAATGGTCCCAACACCTGGCACAGAGGCTCTCAACTCCCTGCACTGGTTATATATGCGTCCTATCGCAGTGTGAAGATGGCCAACATTGACCGCAACACTTTACCACAAGCACCACAATCTGAAGGCAATATGTTCAAGAACACTCATTTCTTGATGAAGCCTCTAACTCTCGTCATACACTTATTAACAAATGAGGATTTTCGACTGATATCATCAGTAGAAGTAACAGAGGAACGCCTTGAAGATGTGATGGAGGAGCGAGAAGAATCTAATGGAAGAGTCAAGTCCCTGCTGCCTCTAACATCTTCCTCAACAAATGGTTGACCGAAATCTTCCTCAGTTGCACAGTCTTCTTCAGCAATTGGACTGCTTTCACAAGGTATACTACTCAACCTACGCCGAGGAGGTTCTGTATTTTGTAACTGCTGTTCCTGCACTTGGTGTTCAGATTGTTGCTGATTCTGCTGCTGCAAGTACTGTTCACATGAAGATACCACCTCAGTGGCAGTTTCAGGATCAGATGCAGTAGCATTGTTAGTATCCAAGCCTGTATCAAGACTCAATGAGCGTGAAGGAGGAAGTGTGCGGCGATGTGGCCGTGGTAGTGAAGGTGAAACTGCTCAAATACCCGTCCAGTAGCTCCCCTTGCTGGGAGACGTGGCACTGGGCTGGCTGCTCGACCACCCCACCTCATAGGTGAAGCAGATCGTGGGCTACTTGTGGTTAATAACCTGTAAATAATAAATCTCATTCTATATTCAGTGACACTCATTTCTTTACAACAGATTTATTTAAACTAAATCACTTAACCTTTTCAATGGCTGTCATTGAAACTACATCATTCAAGCCAGGATCCCTCACGTACGTACTTCTATGTCATGAGCTCAGCTCACTCAGATAAGCTGTGAGAGGTAAATTTTAGCCTTGATATGAGAGAATGGGTCTGTGGTGAGTATACACAGTATGGCCATTATTCTAGAAAGAGTAAATTTACTATTTTTGTGAAAGATTATGAATTCAAAATGGAAGGCAAGTGTAATATAGGCAGCTTGTGAACTTGATTAATGAGCAGAGGAAATGTTTGTCAGGAATGCTCACAATGTTTATTTTGCACTATTTTTAAATTGGTATTTCTTAATTTTGTGTAAAAGTGGCCAAATTACAGACGTGTGTACTTCATAGGGTAGTTGAAATAGATGAATGGGTGGTTTCTTGTGCTCATCTGATAGTAAGGAATGCATACTAGTGAAATAGCTAAGAATTTGACCAAAGGGATCAATGGCATTGGCTTAAAATAGGACCGAGTGGGCAAAATCTCCAATGCATAATTTTGCAAACACCGCTAACTTTTTGCCCACATAATTCTGTAATTTTTTCTATCAAATTTTGTACTTTTGGTATCATTACCTTCAGAAAGAGATTCTCTACCATTTCAAAAGAAATCTTTACACACACACACAAAAAAAAAAAAATTAGACACAGCAATAGTAATTTCAGGGGTCTAGTGAAAGAGTTAATAGCAAAGATCATCTGATAACTGTTTTAAAGATAAATTTTGTTAGCCTAAATATTCAAATGTTAAACTCTGAAGATACAAAACATTAAGAATTCAAGAGTTCTCCAGCACACACACAAGTGAAATAGACATAAAATTATTACAGAAGTAAAAATGTAAAAAAACAGAACTTGCAAATATAATGAACTTGGAAAGCACACCCAAGTTCAACTATAATCCAAACTTTAAATTAGGTCTCTAATGTTGTTCACTACTGAAATAATTTATGCCTTTTGTGATGAAATTTAGTAAGTTTATTCAGGTATACACAAATACAGTTACATAGAATTATCATACATAGCAGCATATGTGTAGAGAACCTAGGATAACCCAAAAGAGTCAGACAGAGTGACTTACTTTTTCAAAATTAAATATACTGCAATGTTAACATGACCAGGCAAAATATTTACTACACTAGTTTTGCCTGCTCAGTTGGGGATACCTTGCCATAGGAAAGGGGGTTTTTTGATTCAAGGAATTGGCTTTTATCCCCTTCCACTGATCAAATCTAAATACCCTCTTCCATTTCCAATTGGTCTTAGTGGAAAAATTTCTATTTTTTTTTTGTTGTTGTTGTTGTTGTTGTTGCAAAAGGCAGTTTCTAGAGGAAAAAAAGGGATGACCATCAGCCCTGTTCATACCTTCTATGTTTAACCAATGCAGGGTCGCCCCGTCAGTCTTTAGGGTCTTTGTCCGAACACGATGATCCCTTGCCACTCTCAGTACTTGTTGTACGTTGGTAGAGTGGGGGTGCTCTAGGTAATGTGGATGGTGTGCCTGGAGTAGCCATGCCTCCCTCCACACTTCTACTAACATAGCGGCCGAGTGGTCCATCACCACGCACATTACACTCTCCACGCATAAATCTTTCCATTTTATCTACAACCCCCCTAAATAATCTTGAATCCTTTCTGAAAAAATTAAATGGGAAGGGAAAATTATTATGATAATTCAATAAATTAATTTTGAGATACAAATTTATTATCACATTCCCAAATAAAAATATAAAAATAATTTTTCAAGGGGAAGAAAGGAGAAAATTCAGGTTTGTTTTGAGGAACTAAATTTAAATCATTGCAAAAAATTAAAGAGCCCTTAAACAACAAGGTATTTTCCTTAAGTGTGCCGGTGCTCACGATAATACGAATTTTTTCACTATGCTTTTATTAAAAAAGAATCACTCTAAGCACAACAAAACCTGACACCTTTTAAAATAGCAGACTGCTGCAAAACTTCTGGAAGTTCCTCAGGATCTGGGTGGGGAAAAAAAACCAAAAATTTGGAAAAAAGGGTTTTTTTCAAATGTTTTTTGGGAAAAATTTGACTTAATTCCCTTTTTTTTTTTTCGGGGGGGGCCCCCCCGAAAAAAAAAAAAAGGCCCTTTTTTTTTTTTTTTGGCCCCAAACAAATCTCCCTGGGGGGAAGGGGGAAAAAGGGGGCCCAAAATTAAATTAGGTTTCCCCTTTGGTTTAAAAACATCCCCCCGGGTTGGTTATTTTGGGGGGTTATATTGGGCCTGGGGGAAAAAATTTAGGGCAAGATTATTATTCATTTTTTTTTTTTTAAAACCGGGGGGGGTTTCCCACCAGGCGGATTGCCCGAAAAAAAATCCCCCCAAAAAAAAATTACACCCTTTCCCCCACAGGGGAAACACTTTTTTCCCGAGGGGGGGGGGGGGGGAAAAAGGGGGGTTTAAAGAAGCTTCTTTTAAAGAAAAAAATTTGTCCCTAAACTCCCAAAAATTTTTTACCCCCCTTTAAAAGCGGGCAGGGTACTCCCTTTCCGGGCTTAAGGGTCCAAAGGGGGGTAGAAAATAAAAAGGTTTGGGGGGGAATCCCTTCATAAAATTTCCTGTTCCACCCCTTTTCCCAAAAAAGAGCACCATTTCCCAATTCGTTCCATTAATTTTCAAACAGGCTCAGGCACGGGTTGGGGGGGAATTTAAAGTTGGCCCAAAAAGGGAATTCCCCCTTTCCCCCTTTTAATTTTGGGACCCCCCATGGTTTTCCCCAAGGGGTTTTTATAGGTTTTTTAATTTTTACTTTTGACCTTTTCCCCAAAAGCCAAAAAATTTAACAATTTTGGGCCCTTGAAAATATTTTATTTAACTCCATTTCCTTTTGGGTTTTTGATAATATTTAAAAATTTTGGTTTAAAAAAGGGAAATTTAAGTAATTTTGGAGGGGGAATTTAAAAAATTAAATTAAAAGGTTTTTGGAAATTATTATATTATTTATTAAATTTTTTTAAAAAAATTTAATTTTTTTTGTAAAAAATATTAAATAAAAATCCCCTTTTTTCCCCTAATTTTTTAAAGGGATTTCCCTAACCCTTAAAAATCATGGGAAAAAAAATCCCAAGTACTGAAAACATTCACTTTTTCCAAAAACCCCCTCCCCAATTTGATATCCAATTTTTTTTTTATCAAAATTTCATTTGACCCCCCCTCCCCCCTTACTCTTTTCTATGTTCATTTTTAAACTTTTTTACCTTTACCCCACATCCCAAACTAATCCACTCCCCCTTTTTCCCAAATTTTTTTTTTAGAATCCCCCTAAGAAACAGTATCATCAGAAAAAAGTAACTGTGTAAATTTCCCCATTTTAAATTTTTGTTTCCCCAAAATTTAATCCCACCCCTCTCCCGAACCCCCAGCATTTACCCCTTTTACAACCCCATCTTTTAAATATTTTAAAAAACCCATGGTGACATTACCACCCCTGTAAAAAGGACCTACTTTTCCGGGAAGTAGTCTCCCTCTTTTCTACACACCCAAACCCGAGCCCCCACTATCCCATAAAAAACCTTTACGCATTTAATAATTTTACCACCTATTCCATATACTTGCAAAAATCTGCCACATTCCCTCCTCTATCCACTTATCATATGCCTTTTCTAAATCCATAAATGCAATAAAAACTTCTCTCCCTTTACCCTAAAAAACTTTTTCACTATATGTTTTCAATGTAAACACTTGATCTACACATCCCCTACCCACCCTAAAACCTCCTTGCTCTCCGAAATCCTACTTTTCTGTCTTACCTCAAATTTTCCTTTCAATTTCCCCCTACCGTCCCCATTTTTCCTGGAAATACTCAGAAAATTATTCTTTTATAATTTTTACAGTCCCCTTTTGTCCCCTTTCCCTTTTTTATAAAGGGACAAAACATTTCTCTTCCCCCCAATCCCCCAGGTACCCTTTCCCCCCTTTTAAAACATTTATTAAACAAAAGTACCAACACCCCCCCCCCAAAAAAATAATCCCCCCCGTTTTAACTTTTTTTGTCATGATCCCATCAGTTTTTCCCGCTGACCCCCCTTTCATTTTTCGTAAGCCCCACGTACCCCCCCCCCACACTTACATTCTGCCTTCTTTACTCCAAAAAAATTTGGGATCCTCCTGACCATTGGGATGAAAAAATTTTGCCTCTTTTTCTCCTTTTAAAATTTTTAAAAATTCCCCAAAATATTCCCCGCCCTCTACCTAATACCCCCTCCCCCTACCCCCCCTTACTAACTCCCCTACTTTTTGTTTTTTTTAAATGAAAAAAACCATTTCTTTCACTAGGCTTTCTTAACTTTTTTAAATCACTCCAAAATTTTTCTTATTTCAAATTTAAAAATTTTTTGACAGTGCCTCTTTCCCCCTCTATCATCTGCTCTCCTTTTGCACCCCTTCACCACTCTCTTTTCCCCTTTTTTTTACCTCCATATACTCTGCTTTTTCTTTTTAAACTTCCGGGTTTTTAAAAACCCCCTCATAAGCACCTTTTTCCCTTTTATTTACACCCTTTACTTCATCATTCCACCAATCAAATCCTCTTTCCCCCTCCCCCACCTTCCTATAAAACCCCAAACTTCTGCCCCAAAATTCTAAAATGCATTTTTTTAAAAAAATTCCAAACCTCTTCAACCCCCCCCCCCTTAAATCATCCCTTTTCACTAGCCCACCTTTTTGCCCAAAAGTCCCTTTACTCCCCCCGAATTTTCCCCCTCCCCTTTGTTTGGGTTTGGTTTGGTAAAGGGTTTGTAGGGGAAAAAGGACAAATCTCCCTTAGTTTATACACTTTCCCCCTCCCTCTTACTTGTTGTTGCCCCCTTCCTCTTTTCCCATCCCACCTCTTCTCTAAAATGTAAATTTTCAAATTAAAAAAAAAGATCCGATATATCAGTTTTTCCCCTCCCATAAACATGTACAACCTGGAGGGACCCCTCAACCTTTTTTCCACCAAAAACATAATTTTAAAAAACTACTTTTTATTATGTGCTACATCATCCTTGTATATTTTTTTTTATCCTCTTTTTCAAAAATATGTATTACTTATTCCAAATTTTCTTTTTAAAACATAGCTCAATTAAAGGCTCACCATTTCCTTTTTCCCCTTTGGGAAAACCCCAAAAAATTTTCCTACCTACTCCCCCCAAAACATTTTTTACCCACTTTAGCTTTTTTAAAACCCCAACCACCATTACTCTTTACCCTTTTATTCAAAACTCCCCAGGATTCACTCAACCCTTTCCCCCAAAAACTTTTTTCCCCCTACACTTTTCTCTTCCCGGGCAAAACACGCTTAAAAATAACCCACCCTTTTAAAATCCATTAAAAACCCCCTTTTCACATCCCCCTCTTTATTTTACTCCACAAAAACCTTTGAATTAATACATTTATAGTCCCTTTTTTTCCCGCCATAGTTATCCCTTTAACATTTTTGCTACTCCTTCTTTTGCCTCTAAAATCTATTTTGAAACCCCTGCCCAAACCCCCTTTTTTCCCCTTTTCCCTGAAACTCCCCCCACCCCCCTTTAGCTTGTTTCACTTAAAAACCCGGGGCATCCAGCTTCTTCCATTTATAACATCCAAAATCACTCTTTCTTATCAAACTGCACAACATCCCACACTTCAACTTCCCCAAATTTGACAATTTTCCCTTTTTCTTATTTTTTTTTTGTAATCTTTTTCAGGGGAAAAAGGGGTTCTTAAACCCATTGGTTTCCCCGGGATTTTAGTTTACTTTTACAACCCGCAAAGGGGTTACGGAGGAAAGATTCTTATTTCCCCTTCCCCCTGGATTTTTAAAAGGAAAAATAATTTAAAACCCAAAAACTATTAAAATAAAAACAAGGGAAAAATCAGATGAGTGTGTATTTAAAAAAATGTGTACATGTATGTGTAGTAGGGATAGGTAGTTGGGTTTGGGAGACAGCAACCACCCCCGGGGAAATACTACCCCTCCCGCAGATGGGCGTGAAAAAAATGTAACGTTTTGGGATGAAAGGGAGGGTTGCGGTTTTTTTTTTCTGTTTTCATAACACGCTAAGATAAAAGGGATATCTTGCTACTCCCACTTACACTTTGGTAAAACTTCACAAAACACGCACATGCCCTATATATATAACTAATCTAGGTTTTTCTCCTTTTTCTAAATACTCTTTTCTTTTTTATTTTTCTATTGTCCATGGGAAAGGAAAAGAATTTTTCCCTCCGTAAGCCATGCGTGCGTATGAGGCGACTAAAATGGGGGGTAGAAGGGGCTAGTAACCCCTTCTCCTGATACAATTACAAAAAAAGAGAAAAAAAAAAACTTTATAAAAGGGTTTCTAAATGGGTGGATGTAGTCGGATGACAAAAAACGATGATTGCTATGTTATGAATGAAAAAAAGTTGGATGTCCGGGCCCCCTAAGCGAAACAAAGCTGAAGGGGTAGGAGAGTTTCAGGGGGGGGAAATAAATGGTTAAAATCTGGAGTATTGAGAGAGTTAGAGAAAAGGGGGGGGGTACAGTAATGTAAATGATCATTTGGAAGGAAAAAGAGAATTAATGTGTAAATTCAAGAATATGTGGATTAAAGTAAAGGTTGGATCGAAAAGTGGGTCAAATAACGTGATGCACCTGGAGAAGAGAGGAATGCGAGGGGAGAGAGATTTTGGGAGATGTTAAGTGAATGATAGGACCCTTTTGCCCAAGTGGAGAGTAATTGGGTGGGGGATTTTAAATGCTAAAGTGGGAAAACTTTTAGAGGGGGTTTGGGGTAGGTAATTTTGGGGTGCCAGGTGTAAATGATAATGGGAGCCCTTTGATTGAACTTGTATAAAAAGGGGTTTGTTATAGGTAAACATTTTTTAAAGAAAAAAGGATAAATAAGTATACACAAGATGTGGGGCGAATGACAGTATTTTGTTGGATTATGTATTGGTAGATAAAAACTGTTGAGTAGATTCAGGATTCCATGTTTATAGAGGGGCCACAGATATATAAATCACTTTATTGTAGCTACACTGAGAGAAAAAGGTAAGGGATAAAAAAATAGAAGCATCGGGGAAAAGAGAAGGTGAAGGTTTATAACAAAAAGAGGGGGCATTTAAAGGGTAAGATAAAAAACAGCTATTGGAGGATAATGGGCTAATGGAGCTAGGCAAGGGGGTCCAAGAGGTATGGGGTGGGTTTTTAAAAAATGTAGTTTTAGAGTGTTCGCAAATTTTTGGGGTTACGGGGAAAGGGGTGCAGGGGGGAAAAAGAGGAGCGTTTGGGGTGGAATATGATGAAAAGAGAGTAGTAAGGGAGAAAAAGTTACATATGAGAATTTTTAAAAAGTAAAGGGATGAAGGGGGGGGAAGGTATATGGAAAAAAAAGAGAGAAGTTAAAAGGAGTGGTGAAGAATGTAAAAAGAAGAAAAATGAAGAGGGGTGAATTTTATCAACAAATTTTGTGAAAATAAAAAAAATTTTTGGGAGGAGATTAACTTTTTAAAAAACCCTAGAAAACAAATGGATTTGTCATTAAAAATGGAGGGGAAAGTTTTTAAAATGGAGGGGTAGGTTTTGGGAAGAGGGAAGGAATATTTTTGAGAATTGTTAAATGTTTTGAAGATAGGGGAACGTGATTTCGTGTAAGGGCAAGGAGGAAAAAAATCTTGTGGAGGGGAAAGAGCCCGTTGTGAGTGTGGGGAAATTCGTGAGGCAGAGGTAAAAAGAAAGGGGGTAAGGGAGCCGGTTGAGGGGTAAAGATAAAAATGTTAAAAAACGGGGGGATTTTTTGGAGTGGTTTTTGCAATTATTTAATAAATTATGGAAAAGGGGGAAAGGACCTGGGGGTTGGCAGAGAGCATGCATAGTTCCTTTGTAAAAGGGAAAGGGGATAAAAGAAGTGCAAAAATATAGGGGGGTAAGTCTGTTGAGTGACCTGGGAAAGTGTATGGTAGAGTTTTTAAAATTTAAAGAATAAGAGTAAGACGGAGAAAAAGGATACAGATGAACAAGGAGGCTTTAGGAAGGTAGGGGGTGTGTGGGCCGGTGTTTACAGTGAAACAATAATTTTAACAGTATTTAGATAAGGCTAAAGGGTCTTTTTGGGATTTATGGGTATGAAAAGGGGTATGCAGGGGGGGATAGGGGGGGAATGTGGAGATGTTGCAAGTGTTAGTTAGGAGGGAGGTTACTGAAAGCAGGAAGATTTTTTTTCGAGGTAGTGAGGCTCAAGTTAGAGTATGTAGGAAAAGAGGGAAAATTTTTTCCCATAAAAAAGGGCCTTAGACAAGGATGTGTGATTCCCCCCGTGGTTGTTTAATAATTTTTAGATGGGGTTGTAAGAGAATAAATGCGGGGGCTTGCAAAAGGCGTGGAGTTAAAAAATAAAGAATCACAAAAAAAGGGGAGTTGTCACAGCTGCTCTTTTCCGAACCGTGCCTTGGAGTTTTAAGAAATTCAGAGATTGGGGGATGAATTTGGTAGGGGGGTGCAAAAGAAAAAAATTAAAGGTGAATACAGGAAAGAGTAAGGTTATGGGGGAAAACAAAAAGTTGGGTGATGAAAGTTTGAAATCAGATTGGGGGGAGAGAGATGGGGAGGTAACGTATTCAGATATTTGGGAGTGGGTTCACGATTTGGGGCTATGAAAGATAGGTGAATCAAGAATTGATAGGGGAAAAAAAGTGAGTGGTGCACTTAGGATCGGGAGACAAAGAATTTTTGTCCTTGGGGCCCAAAGGGGGGAAAATTGGGTATGAAAATTTTATAGTTTACCAAAGTTCCAAAAGGGTGGAGGGGGAAGCGAGGGGAATGGGGGGAATTTGAAAATTCGAGGGAAAAGGGTTTGGAGGAGGGGGGGAAAAATTGCCCAAGGGGGCTGAGGGGGAATTTTGGGGGGTGGAATTTAAATAAAGGGGCAAAAGAATTTCGGAAAAGTTTGGGAAGAAGGGGGGGGGGGCGGCCTAAAAAGGGAGTGGGGGGGAAAAAGGAAGGGTTTTGTTGGGGGGGTTGGTTCCCAGACAGGGTGGGGTGTTTGGAGGAAAAGAAAAGGGTTTTTTAAATTTCTCTTTTAGGGGAAAGGAAAGGCGGGGTTTTGGCCGGCCCTGGGGGGGGGGGGGGGGAAAAGGAGGGGGGGGGGGGGGGGGGGGGAGGGGGGGGGGGGGGGGAAAGGGAGGGGGGGGGGAAAAGGGGGGGGGGGGAAAAAAGGGGGGGGGGCCGGATTTGGGAGCCCCGGGAGAGGGGAATTACAGTGCCTGCAATCTGAAGGGGGGGTTGTTAATGTTGCATTTTAAAAACTTTTAGTGTAAAGCACCCTTCGGGAAAACCCTTATGGAGGAATGATGGTGAAAGTTTTTCTTTTTTCCCGGGCCACCCCCGCCTTGGTGGAATGGGCCCGGGTGTGATAAAAAAAAAAAAAAAAAAAAAAAGTATGTGAAATGTCCCCCTAAGTGTAAGTAGAAGAAAAGCAAAAAACCCTTTTAATCTTGAAATTTTATGAGAAAGAAAAAAACAAAATCAGCAATCCAACCATCATGTATAACAATCACGGGCCTTTCTTTTACACCTTTTTGGGCCAGGAGGGTAAAAACCATCCCGGGGGTTGGTTGCTGTCTCCCCAACCTCCCAAACCTAACAAAAAAATAACTAACTCAAAAAAAGGCAAAATAAATCCTCCCGACAATTTTAAAAATAAATGGGTTTTTAAGTAAAATTTTATCCTAGGTAGTAGGTTTTTGACAAAACCGCCCAGGGGGGTACTCCCGTCCTGCCAAGTGGTGTAAAACGAAAGCCTGTGTTTTTTTTTACATGATGGTGGGTTTTGGGCGGTGCCCTTTTTTTTCTGCCCTCATGAACATGCAAGATTTCAGGTACATCGGGGCCTACTTCTACTTACACTTAGGTCCACTACAAAAAATTTTACAAGCGTAAATATACATACCCCTCTGGGTTTTCTTTTTTTTTTTTCCTTTCTAGTTCTTGTTCTTTTTTTATTTCCCCTTTTCTCCATGGGGGAAATGGAACAGAATTCTTCCTTTCCTTTCGCCATGGCGGTTGTAATAGGCAACTAAAATGCCGGGAGCAAGGGGGTAGTTTAAACCCCCTTTTCCCTGGGATATAAAAACCCAAAAAGTAAAAAAAGGGGAAAAAATTTTGTTTTTTTCCTTTTTGGGGCCCCCCCGCCTCGGGGGGATTTGGGGGGTTTTTTTGAAAGAAAGAAAGAAGATATTTATGAAAAAAAAAAAAATTTACAAAATTTATTCTACACTTTTGGTGATAAAGAATTTTAAACCAGTGTGAACCATTATGCCAAAATTTTTAAATACCCGGGCCCCCCAAACCCACTAACTTCCAATTTAAAGATTTTTCTGCACTTTAAAAATTTGGGCCCCTTTTAAAAGGAAAAAAATTAAACAAACACAAGTCTTAAAATTTAAAAAACCATTGCAAATTTTTTAAAAAAAAATTTTTAATAGTTTCCCCTGTAATTTTATAAATGCATTTTAAAAATTTTTCATAATTCAGTTTTTGCCCCTGTGTATAAAATTCACATTTATTTCATAAATATCAATAATATAACTGTAGATTCAATAATTCAAATTTTCTTAAAGCTAAATTATATTTCTCCTATGTATTTTTCAACATATACATTGATATTTTATGAGAGTTCGAGTTACTGATATGTGTTGGACTCTCTTGTGTAGTCAAAAACTGTAGCTACATATAACAATTACATCTGTTTTTGAATGGTGTGTGTGTACAGTAAGTGGTCAGTGAGTGAGGTGACAACTCTTACACCCCTACCCTCATAGCTCAGGCATGCAGTAACCTTCACCTTACCATATGTTTAGGCACCTTATACCCTTGCCATAATAATGGTGTGGTTTAAGGTGGACACAGGGTGCAGGTGGTTAAACACAATGTGGGGTGGTGTGGGTAGCTAAGCACCATTGTTAATGAGGAGCTGATCAAAATATCGACTTGGATGACAGTCAATAAACTTGCGCTTAACACTGACAAAACCTACTACATTATGTTTGGTAGCAGAGCAGGAGATGCACAAATTAACATTAAGATCGACAACACTCTAATTGCCAGGCATAATGAGGGCAAATTCCTAGGCCTATACCTCGACAACAACCTGAACTTCAGCACCCATATCCAACACATAACCAAAAAAGTATCCAAAACGGTTGGGATCCTCTCCAAGATACGATACTACGTGCCGCAAACTGCCCTTCTCACACTATACCATTCACTTATATATCCATACCTCACCTATGCTATCTGTGCTTGGGGTTCAACTGCAGCAACACACCTAAAGCCAATAATAACCCAACAAAAAGCCGCAGTAAGAATAATCACTAAATCCCATCCCTGGCAACACACCCCCCACTCTTCATAGATCTAAACTTACTCCCTGTTCAGTACATCCACACTTACTACTGTGCAATCTACATCTACAGGACCTTAAATTCCAATATTAACCTTGACCTAAAACACTTTCTTGATAGTTGTGACAGAACCCACAGGCACAACACCAGACCCAAACATCTCTATGACATTCCCCGTGTCTGACTAAACCTTTACAAAAATTCAATGTATGTCAAAGGCCCTAAAATCTGGAACACCCTACCTGAAAATTCTAAAACTACAGACACATTCATCACCTTTAAAACTACCATCAGAAAACATCTTATCTCCCTGAGACACCCTGTCAACTAATTACACGAATACCACCTGGTGGTTAACACTTACACTCACTCGCCCATTTGACCATAAACAGAAATATCCATCTCAATCTCAAAGTAATGAATCTTAACTAGTCATAAGTTGACCTGTGATACTCCAATACTGAAACTATGTATAGTGCCAAAACAAAAGCATTCACATTGCTAAACTCACAAACTAGTATTTAGTCACTTAGCCATAATACCAACTTACCTCATAATTTTGTAATATTTTAAACTTAAGATTTAATTTAAGTCTGCCCGAAATGCCTAGCCATGCTAGGTGTTCTAGTGGTACACTCTGTAATTATTATTTTACTACATGTAAACCACACAATAACCAAATTCTGTAAACTCAGCATTGTAATCCTTATAGAGAATAAACTTTGAATCTTTTGGAGCACAACAAGGGGTGGAATACAAGAAAGAAACCAGAGAGCAAAAGTAAAGTGGGACTGGAGGGTCAATATGATGGGAGAGAGTATCATAATACTGATAGCATACAATACCAATAAGTTAATGAATGAGATATGTGTAACACTTAGCTACATGACATAGCAACACCATGGTATCTTAGTACAGGGAAAGTTTCTGCAGTTCCTTTGCCAAACAAATGTTTAGCATGACTCACTTCCACTAGTTGGTCATGCTCACCTGTGATGTCATGTCCAGATGCTACACCTCACTTATGCTCCAGTACTGTATGTAAGGTCTGGCTGCAAGTCACTGCTTTAGGCTTGAAGAACTACCTACCACAGCTGAGGGACTCATCATCTCAAAACTACTACTGTCTCCAGTTTTGTATTCAACTTAAAATGCCTGTTGCACAAGTGAAACTTTTTGGCCAATGTAGATACTAGTGCTGCATGTGTCTTATTCAGTATTGGGAGCGAGGAATTAAATGTAAGAGGAGGAGATGCATGTGATTGATGTTGAAAGATTTTCTACTATTGCAGGTCTGCCTTGAGCCAGACTTTTCTGTTGATTGCCTGTTTAACCCTTTGACTGTCGCAAGCCCCTTTCTGAAACTGTCATTCTATGTCACAAAATTTTTGGAAAAAAAAAAAAAAATCGTATGAAATGATAAGAGAATCTTTTCCCGATGGTAATGACACCAAAAGTACGAAATTTGGTCGAAAACTCACGGAATTACGGTCCCGCGAAGTTAGCGGTCTCGGCAACATATACGCATCGGTGATTTCGCCGAATTTGAGCCCTGTTTTTGACCAATTCCACTGTTCCTGTTGACCAAACTCGTAGCTATTTCTTTAGAACTCCATTTTTTCTATCAGTTGAGTACAAGAAACTGCCCATTTACAGATTTGAAATATCCAATCAAGTGGTCAGAAATTGGCAATTTGGCCAATTTCACGCAAATAAAAAAGATGCCAATTTCAAAATAGGGTCCAGAATAAACAATGTAGACATTCTTGGCATTAAAATAACATATCCTCTATTCATTAGCTGCATCTCTAGGCCCCTCTTATATTACTGTTGCTTTCTATTTTGATTTTTTATTCATACAAAAAAATACAAAATTTACTGTTATGCAGAACTGTATTATTGTAAAAATTAGTATAAATATCAGTGCACTAGTGAAAGAATATTAGACTCCCCAGTTGACGTGTATTGGATGTGTGGTGTGATTTGCTTACTCCTGAACATTGGTAAAAATCGAACATTTCCAGTACTTTGAGCTCAATTTCAAGGTCGTTTTCATCGTGAAACTAACCAAAATCATCTCTGTTTCTGTAATATGTGTTCCATTTTATCACTTGAGACCATGAAAACGAGAATACAACGATAAATACTATACGAAAATACACCTCAAAGTCGGCATTTTAATCCAAATAAAAAAAACGGTCAGTTTTTTTTCTCATTATGCACTGTATGCTGCAGGATTTTTTTATGTGGTGCACACTGACCACACAGACCCATTCTCTCACGTGTGGGCTTACCAGCTTTCTCCTGCTTGATTTGAATTTATGCGTATTAATACGTCCAAAACACTGGCTCGTAAGACGTATATATACAACCAAAACAGTCAAAGGGTTAAGCAGGCTATAGCTGTTGGTGGCCAGCTGGCCTACACAAGCATCACAGTCTAGTTGATCTGGCACTTTGTGCTTCAGCAATATTTCGGGTATCTGCTGGTAGCAGGATGAATAATCTTGGACCATGAATGATGACACTTGTTTTACTGTGTTCATGGTACCCCTGCTTTTCACAGGATTTATTTTACAGTACCTCCCATACATCTCTTTCTTACCAGCACATTATTGTAGTGTGTAGCACTGGGAATAGGCCTTCATGTACCTTGTATAATTATCAGGTATCCTCTCCTCTTCATCCCAGATAGAATGGAGGTAAGGAATAAGAGGGGAAGGAAAGGAAAGGAAAGGAAAGGGAGGCAAGAGAGAGAAACTGAATTTTATATAGAAAATTGTTATTTAATTTTGTTAGAAGTATATGAAATTAGATACAGGATATTACAGTTCTGGAAAGCACCTCTGATTATATCATGTGTCTGAGAGTACAGCTCCACTTTCCAAACAACAGACTTATGAACAACTATCAGGAATGCATTAATATTGTAAATGGGGGACCTACTGTAAAGCAATATGAAGCAGTCAAAGGTTGATCTGACTGCTCATTTTACATACTCTACATTTGTTTCACTATGTAACAAAACTGAACATGGAAATGCAATCAAAAGGTAAATTACCACTAATTTTTGTACTACAAATCAGCAGTGAAACCTATTGTAATGCAGGAACTACTACTGATGACTAATAAATTTACAAGCCATGTATAAATAGTAACTTTTTTCAAGAGTTGTCTTTAAAATACTGGACTGTAATTCAGTGTTACACCATTATTGCCTACACTAATATTCCACTAATTCTCATACTCAAATTAGATTCCCAACATTTTTCATTTATGTGATATCTTCTGTTCCAAACAGCTTTAAAGTGTCAGATGTCTATCCACCCTGACTCCCAGCAGTAGCTCTGCCAATGTTCAATATCTTGCTGGAATGTATAGTGATGCAATGTGCAACACTACAGATTTTTTTCATAGCCACATTTGATGTTGGCAACTACCATTACCCCTTTCCCATTCATATTATGTCAACCTGCTTTGATTACAAGACACTCAAGCCTGTGACATTCTGAATTGCACTGTCACTTTAATGTTTGACTTGACATGATCTTTCTCCCCTGAATCATACAACACCTGTAACTCCTGCTAGCACCTATTGGAAGAGCGATACACCAGACTAAAAAAAAAAGCCATTAGCGTGAGAGCCTTACAGATGCCTGTGGAGGTTCCTGCTCCATTGCAAAATACCCAGTACTGTATTGTGCACTTTACAGGAAGCAATTATATATGAAATCCAGTAAATCTGCACCAAATTTTAAATTAATAACTGCTTGAGCATGGCAAACACTGCATACTGTATACATACCCTGTGAACCCAATCTTTGCATTCTGTGTCACCAATGCATCTATCAAGAGCATTTGGTGTCAAGACTAAGAGGAAGTTCTTTGCTTGTCGAATTGAATTTAGCAAATTGTTATCAAATTTCCCAGCCTCCAATCGTTCAACATCAATGAATACAGAGAAATCTTTAAGCTGCATATGGACCTTTAGTAAACTGAAAAGACAAAAAACGTATCATTGTGAATTTTATTTTTTCAGATTTAAATAAGTAAAAATAATCCAAAAATAATATCAGTACATTTTTTTCAGATTTAAATATAAAAAAATAATAAAAAAAATAATATCAGTACATGTTTACCTTGCTAACTGTGAACCATTAGAACGTCTATAGCTGATGAAAACATCTAGGGTCTTATCTAGAGAATTGGCATCTTGGAGTTGTCCACTGTCATCTGTAATACAAATAGCTACCATTATGGTTTTATCTGCCATGTTTGAGCATTAAAAAAAAGATTCAACACTACCTTCCATATACAAGATTACACAAACATTATACAAATATACATACACATGCACACATTTACTTTATGTATTTTTAACACACCAGCTGTGTATTACACTTGTTTTGCTATTACAATTATTAAATAACAAAGGCTGTATGACCCTAGTGGATTTAGCACTTAGTTTTGATTCTTGTAGTAATAATAATTAAATAATACCTGTCATCACAGAGGCAAAATTAAGTTTGATTTTTAATAAGTATTCTAAGCTAATACAAAATTTTGTAAATGAATCCCTACATTATGTACATTCATTCATGAAGTATGACCAATTTTTTGGTTGGTTCTATTGTCTCCTGAGTCATTAAGTTCAATAATGCAAACTCTTGTTACACATATGCCAATACCTAAAATAATCAAATCTCTTAAAATCAACATTAGTTGTATGTCAAATTTTGTGTTGTTAGAAAACATTTAATTTTGCTAAGTACTCTGACAACCATTTCTTGGATGCCTGTGTAGGGTGCTTCCCTATCTTCTGTCTCTGCCTGCTATGTCCCCATGACAACAACGGCTCATGGAGTCTCAATTCTCTCACTTCTTTGCCTCTGAAGACTGGTGACAGTCCAAAAGACCGAGCTGTGGATCTGTTGCATACTATACATGCATACACACACTGTACATACATGCAGAATGAATAAAAGATATATACAGTATACACCCTGCCTCGGTGGGAGACAGCCGACTTGTTGAAAATAACAAAAAAAAAATTTTCAACATGTCAGCCATCTCCCATCGAGGCAAGGTGACCCAAAAAAAGAAGCACTTTCACCATCATTCACACTTAATCACTGTCTTTTTAAATGTGACTGTTTAGATGTCCAAACAGCCAATATCCCAAACCCCTCCTTTAAAGTGCATGCACTGTACTTCCCATTTCCATTATTCAATTTTGACTATATAAAAATAAACAGTATCCCTGAATCTCTTAATAAAATATTACCCTGCTCACACTCCAACAGCTCATTAAGTCCCAAAAACCATTCATCTCCATTCACTCTTATCTAACAAGCTCACACATGCCTGCTGTATGTCCAAGCCCCTTGCACACTGACTCTGCCATGGGCTGCCACTGTTACCTTCTGCCTTGCCTCAGAGAATTTCCCCTCCTATCTGTTGCTGTCTTGCTACATTGCAAGCTCCTGATGATGCACGAGAATGCAAAAGATCTAGAGCTAAAGATTTCCTTCCCTGTGTAGTTTGTTCTACATTAAGATCGCCTGTTTGCGACTGTATTGCGCACGCACGCACACATGCACGCACACACACACACACACACAATGTATGTATGTATGTTTATACATACTCGTAGTATATTCTAAATATTTCTTAAACTTAATTCAGAAGGCTAGTACTTTGTCAGATTGTCTTTAATATTAAGGTTCAGTTTATGATATCAGAGCACTTTAGTATACGTATACATTATATTTTCATGCCATGAATAACATTTTTCTAGAGACAAACACTTACATTTGAATATTTTGATAAGCATACTAATTATAGAATTAGGGTGTCTTAAAATCAAGATGTAAAACTAGATTATTGAAAATTGTGTTAGAGGAATGTTACTCACAGTTTTTTAGCTTTTCATATCCTATGTTTGTTGCATGCAATAAAAGCCATTATTTAATGCACACCTAACAAGTCAATGATATGATAGGCACTGTAAGCTCTTAAGGTAAACAATTTTTTATGTCTAAACTTTAAATGATAACCTCATATTTTTAAGAAAATATCATTTTATCTAAAATGACAATGAAATGAAAAAAATATAAATGCTTCCATTTAACTTGCATCTTAACTTATACTCACTCAATATCGTGTCTCTAATTCTTTGTCGATGAATTGAATTGTAAATACCACATTCTGTAATTAGCTGCTCTTCAGTGAGATATCTGCAAAATAAATTTATCATGAAATCAGTCTACAGAATGATGAATTTACTTGACCTCTTGATATTTAGTGAATATGTTTTAGTAAGAACTTACTGTACTTCAGGGTAAATTTTAATTTATATTTAATTTGTAAATAATTTAAAGTACATATAAATGAACAGTATGTGTGTGACTTGTGGAAATTACAGTATGCACAGTACCTACCGAAGACAATCTCGAGTGACTCCTGCTCGCAGCATGCGGTAAGTGTATTCTGCAAATTCTTTATCAATTTCTACCATAAACTCATTCAGCTTGGTGGAGTCACAAGATGAATAATCAGCAAGAAGTTTCAATTTTCTTAATTCCCTCATAAATCTTTGCCTGAGAATGCCATTTTTTATGCCAATATCATCACGAAGGTTTTCCTCTGTGAGCTGTAATAAGAGATCCCCATCTACTCGTGAACTTACAAAGTTGTCACCATACTGTAAGAATGCAATTTGCTTGACCCATTCTTTCACATCTTCAGGTGTCCACAATGGTACCTGCTGACTTAGTTTATGTGGGACCTCTTCTCCTATAAGACGAAGTGCCTGTACTGCATACTTGCTGGCAATGGCATTAGGAGAACTAGCAACTTCTTTGAGTGGCTCAATAGCACCAATTTCTCTGAAGAGTTCAATGTTTCCTTGCTGTTTTTTTATACCAGCTTCCATACAAAAATGAAAAGCTGCCAAATTTCGGGCTTCCTCTCTTTTACTTCTTAGTACTGGCAGAAGTCGTTGCAGCCAGCTTTGACTCTGTCCATGTCTGTGTGCTACCGTAGAATTGGCAAACTGATCTGGAATTTGATTCAAAACAAATGGTTCTACAAGATTCAATGTTCCTGACTGTAAAACAGCGGCTTCCAATTCCTTGTTGGCAACGAGAGTAGCAATTGCTAGACAGGCATAATATTTGATGTTGTCGTCAGAATGAAAAGCAAGAGGGAAGAGCCACATGGGAACCTTACGCTGTATCATTGCCTGTTGATTATCTGATCCACCATAGAGAGACAAATTTGCTAAAGCTACAGCACAATGTCTCAGAGTTTCAACATCAGATTTTCTACATTCTGACAGCACAGCATCTAGACCTCCTAACTGTATGATATCCGAACATGTTCCTTCACTGTGTTTAAACAGGTGCTCTAGAATGCCTGTTCCCACACGAGATTTGTCCACAGAAGTGCCATTCCTTGTACAATCACAGGCAACATTTACTACATTTTCTAGTCCCTTCTCAACTACATATCCTCGATTTTCTGTTGTGAGGCACTGTTCTAACACTTTGGCACTTGAAAACTTCAAATCTGAGTCATCAGACCTACAGTTGTCAAGTAGGATGTCCATACCACCATTATTCCTCAAAACATTACATAATGAAAAGCCCAATTCATGGCCATAAATGGGAACTGACCAGGCTTTTCTCATCATATCATCAATATTTTCTAGCAGATGGGGAGCATCTTTAAGACATTCATTAACAGTTAGAGACTTCAACTGATCAACAAAGGACGACATCACACCAGAATAACGCATAATAGCATTCTGAATGTCCACAGGTTGAGATGAAGCACTAAGGTTGTCTAAGTCCTCGAAGCCGGTGATGTTCACATTGCTCTGGAAGGATAAAATAAAAAGATGAAAATACTATGGTTATGTATTCAAACTTACATACAGTATATCATATACATTTTGTAATACAGTGGTACCTCGAGTTACGAACTTAATTCATTCCAGAAGGCTGTTCAAGTGCCGATACCAAATGAATTTGTTCCCATAAAGAATAATGTAAATTAGATTAGTCCGTTTCAGACCCCCAAAAATACACTTACAAAAGCACTTACAAAATTACACTTACATAACTGTTTGAGTTGGGAGCTGTTCGAAACTTGAGGTACCACTGTACTGTATATCATATACTGTATTACAAAAATTGTGATTAGACATAAATAAAAGTCAATAATGAACTGTAAAACTACTTTCAATAAAGTTTAGGAATCAAAATTAAGACTCACGAAATCGTAATGACATGATTGCAAACAAACCATACCAGGGGCAGGTTCTATCCCATCCCGTGGTATGGTTCTTTTCAAAATTAAGAATTACAAATTCATAGCACAAAAACTCATACATACCTGTGATGCAGTCATGGAGGAAGACTGCTTGGTACACACGCCTTTGGTCTTGATGGTGAGGCCTGACTTGGCTGCTTGCCTGGATGACTCCTGGTTGATGGTGCCTGCCGGAGTTTTTGTGAGCCGTTGCTGCTGCTCACTGAGGGCAGAGGTGTGGGCAGAGAAGCCCTCACCTGCCACCCTCATGGTGGCACCCTTCACCTGGGAGCCCTCGCGATGATCCACCTCACCTGCACGCAACTGCCGTGCCTCCTGTAATACAACATAACCAAGTCAATCCTTAACTCATCTTCCTAAAGTAAAGGTGCTAGTTGGCACTATTGAAAATAATGCCTAGACTGATTGCCAAGTTTTGGTTTGTATGCACAAAATTAAAATTGCCTATGGTAAGCAAGTGCTATATTATGAATGGTGTTACATAATCTGAATAATCACAGTATAATAAAAATAAGTTAGTGTTAAGAATATATACACTATATAAAAGTAAATGTGCACGTGTTCAAAACGGAAGTACAGTAAATACAATCAGGTCTAATTTTAAGATAAACAGCTTATCTTTGTTTTGAACTGACAATAAGTATCAACATATTTTGCTATATAATAAATAATGATAATGCAATGAGCAAAGTGTCCATAAAAGTGTTTGTGATGTAAAGGGTTTTGGAAAACTGACAAGTTGAAGAATGAGACTTTTGAAACATTTGGGAATCTTTATTTTGGAAACGTTTCGCCAGCTAGTGGCTTCGGTCCAATTCAGAGAAGAAAAGTGTTAGATGAGGAAGCCACTGGCTGGTGAAACATTACCACAAGAAAGATTCCCAAATGTTGCACAAGTGTCTCATTCTTCATAAAAATGTTTATAGGGGTTTTCTTAAAACATGGGGATGAGGGGGTACTTGTACCTCCTCCCATGGGAGACTTAAGTCTCGAGACACTCCCCAGATAGGGAGCCAAGGCCGGGTCACCACTACTTGGAAAAGACCCGGGCCGAGAGAGTACCGGCGAATAAAAAAAAAAATGGGTATGCCTCCATGTCAATAACCACCAAACAGGGTATATACACAAAGATGCATATGACTGTGCAGAGGTATATCGCAGTGTATACAGACTGAATTAACCAGGTAGACTGCGACTATAATTCCCTTCATGCATTTACCAAGATTTTCATTTAAAACTTGTGGGCCACCAGCAGCAATAGCCTAGCTGACCATGCAAGCTTGGTCCAGGGCCAGGCTGTGGAGTAGGAAAACTCAAAACTCGTCAAAGGTATATCAGATATATATTTAGTTTTATAAAAACCCTTTAAATATTTATTTGACCAGCCTAAAATACGACCTGAACGTTCACGAAATGCCATAGTAATACATAATATTTTATTTTTACACAAGTATACACTTTATATAATGAAACTGGTCTTTCGGTAAAAACTGTGATAATTGCTATAAACTTTAGCGTTGGTTTATGCACGTACCTCCTTGATAGCCTGCGCCTGACATCTGGTAGAAGAGCAGCAGCAGCAACAGCAAGAGGAGCTGGAGCCCTGGACCATTTGTCCAGTGCTCCAGTTATTCCCCACACCATCGTGGTTCACTTGACTATCTTGCCCACAATACTCATCAGCTCCACACTGATAGAGAGACGGTGGGGGTGAGCAAGGGGCATCACTACACACCTTGTGGCTTGCACAACTATTAGTTGAAGATGCAGAGTTTTTACCACGAGATACAACGCCAAATTTACGGTGAGAGTTGTGGCTCTGGTGGATGGTGGTGGGCGAGTCGATGCTCATGTGACCACCACCAGACAAACCCTGGCACGTGGTGCTACCTCCAACTGCTGGGGCATTCTGGCAGGTGTGGGCTCCATGACAAGTGTGGGGCCCACCTGGCGAGGAGTGAGGGTGGGCACGAGAGCCACATCCCCCTCGTACTCCACACGTCTTCGCTAAGCGCTCGCCACAGTGGCTATTAGGGCTGAGCAACACCCAGAATATGTCGAAGTTAATAACGGCCCAGGGAAGCGGGGAGGTAAGGGTGGAGGCAGAGGCCAGGTGGCCACCTTTGGTGTTAAGGGAACTAGAGTGTTTCTTGAGCCCTAGTGCCGGCAGCACCCCAGCCAGCACACTATCACTCACACGTCGACGCTTGTGCATGTTTTGCAGTATGTCTACACAACCAGGTGCTTTTGCAATCACAACTTTCTACTACACTTGGTGTATTACTATCACCATTGTTTGATTTGTCACATTCAAAGGCATAAAATGCATCTGCAAGTATCACTATGGTATTGCCATGTTCAACAGTCGGCTACAATACAAGTTTCACGTAATCCCATCCTCAAACGAAATCATTACTTCTCGAGCTCCATCTACCAAGGCCATTTTTCCATACATAGGTTACCACAGGCAAGTCCAAACATTCATGTGAAGAATTTTCTTTTTCTATTTACTTTCCTTGTTAATAATAAAAAAAAATCGACATTGATTTAATAAGATGGCATGATATCTATCTTGATGCTTCTATGAAAAATAAAAAACTAAATACAGGTAAAAAATGGTAGTATACTGACAGGTATGCAAACAATACAAGTGCATTACTAGTATACACAAAAGCAAGAAAGAAGAAACACTGCAGCAGGCCTATTGGCCCATGTTAAGCAGGTCCAACCCACACCCACCGACCCACATTTACAGTATTGGTGTACAATACCCAAAACACTTGGGTATCTTTGTTTGATGATGTTTCTCCAACCAGTGACTATCATTTTCCACAGAAGACAGTGGAAAATAGGTATTCAGTCCCTCAGCCTGGAATCCTCTGTTCGGTACCCTAGTCTTGACGAACACTATTCCAATTCATTAAGGTGCTAACACCTGAGGGACCGATTATCTCACCTTTCATTGTCTTCTGTGTATATTTTTTGCAAGACTGAGGGACTGATTACCTCATATTCTACCATCTTCAGTTTAAACACCTTTAAATACCTCTGTATTGAATTGTTGAAACCTCTGATTGGCGAAACATTAGACACCCAGGTGTTGCACATGCGTAATTCCTCACCCCACACCCTCTCGTGTACCCGTCCAACCTATGTATCAAGCTACCTAAAATTCTTGGCTCAATGACACATTTATTATACTAGTTTCGCTCACTATGAGCTTGTCATTCGAATATTGTGTAGTTATTGGAATGACGAAGATCCTAGTGAGAAAAAAGTTTCCATAATAAATGTCCTTGTGTTACACAAAGACCTTTGTGGGTTCAGTACTTTGATGGTGATAAGCGTACGACGAGCTCTACCAGTGTCACTACATGGTAAATCAAAGACCCTTAAATTAAGCCTTTATTTAACACAAAGTTTCACTCAGTGAGAGAGAGACCTTTATCAAGTTATTTTATATAGTTCCATCTGTGATCCGATAATTTTGATATTTGAAAAGCGCTTTGCCATGTAGATCATTCAGTGATCTTGGTAATAAAATAAATGAATACATAAGAAAGCCAAAGATAAAATTAATAAATAAACTACTAGCACGAATGAAACAAATACTATCATCCCAAGTTAAAATAACCAGCCCATTAAAATATTAATGTCAAAAGACTCCCCTAAAAGTTCCCCGAGGCCTAACCCGTGTTCGTCAGGAACATCTGCAAACAGGTGGCTGTGGGTGAGATGTAGGCGCCCAACTCTCACCGGACAGAAATTTATCTCCAAGTGACGATTCTTGTTCAGGGAGTAGGACCAAATACCCTGGTCCTGAATACTGCAACTTGCTGTTCATCTGTAGAATTCACAAAAACATGTCCAACACTTGAGTATATCTTTATTGCCGAATATTTTACCTGCACAACAAATTCATTAGACGAATACAGGGATGACATCTCTCTATTTCCACCGTCTCCAGTACATAAATCACTTCTGTATTCGACTGAAGAACGCTGTTGTGCAGGCGAAACGTTTTGGTAATAAAGATACCCAAGTGTTCCACGTCTCTTATTCATCAAGTCTCCTATAAGCGAGATAAAGGTTGCAATGAGTGAAACAGTTTTTAATAAAGGCTTGCACTGTTTACGTTCCTTTGATTTGCCACGTGTCTGTTTACATTGATGCATTTTATACGGAAAAGATAATCAATAATCTTGAATGACAGCACTTTTCCCAACCTTCATCACAGACTAATTGACAAACTTAACATAATACTGTATGCCAAAAAGTTCATTAAACACTGAGTTATTAATATTAATTAAGTTTGTGAATAGAGCTTATAAATGCACTCAGATTTGGAAATCATTAAACTATTACGTTCTAAAAAAAATACCGGAATAAATAATGCAATTTCTTTGAATGACATAATTCATTTGGTATAATTTTTTAAATGCTAAAAAAATGCAGTTACTGCTAAGTACTGTGTCAAAACGACGTAAATAGTTAAAAAAACCGCGCATATGCTGTACTTTTCAAGATTCATGAAATGAGCATATCGACTTCAGGCTGAGGGACTGATTACCTCAAAATCCTCATCTTCCACCGTTCCTTTCTGTGATGGACTGAAGAAGACACTGGCTGGCGAAACGTTTCCGTAATAAAGATTCCTAAATGGTTCACAAGTGTCTTTTTTCAGTGTCAAAAGCTTACTAGAAGAGTACTGTGGATATATATAGAGCAAGATCAATGTGAACCGCCAGGGGTGATGGGTATCCTGCCACCCACCCATCATATCCTGTTCTCTCTTCTTCCTCCTCCTAACAGGATACTGTGTTGTGATCCTTTGTTTTTAATGGGGTGAAAAAAACAAGCTGAAATAGGCCTGCGGATGCTTAATAACCGAGTAGGTCATCCGAGGCACCCGGGTCAGGAGACAGCCCCCAGACTTCATAATGCGATCATCGTCCCACCTACACTTCCTCTGCCCTAGTACACCGAGCCTCCGGGTAATCAGCACTGATACATGAACCCTTAAACCAACACACTTGTTCACATAATGCGACCCTTTCCACTGTGTTACAATGCTAATGGTCCTTCACTAGCACACTGCCCACATGTACACTAGTCCAATGTGAAACACTTACTCCCACGCTGTCCCTGCATGAGCCAAGACCCACACCCACTCTGCTTCTGCGTCAACCTAACACTACACTAAAACCTCCTCATTCCTTGGCTACACTGCTGCTTCACCTGCCAACACCCACACCCACAGTTCACTCCCCTCCTCCCTCCAACCACCTACCTTAATTTTCTAAGACTGGCACGCC